TGAACAACACTCACACACTGCGGCATGAATTTGGATCAAACCCCGGAGGCAGATTTCCAGTTGGGATTGGCTCAATCTGCAAAATAAAAGGTTAAAGCAGGGAAAAAAAATATATATATATATATACACACACACACACAGAGAAAATGGCTTCCCAATTATCTGCTGCCGACAACAACCATCACACCCAAGGGGGAAAAATTGTAAAAGTAAAAACGCCTAATTTACAAGGCATCACTATCGAATGTCACAAATGGCAATAAGTGAAGATTTCAAATGCAACAGCAATATCAAAATGAAGAATGGTGTAAATCTGCAAGTTTGCTCAGTTTAAAAAAAAAAAAAATCCTCTAACTTTTGAAAAAACCATAGGCTAGAAACCACATATTACAGACTATTACCCTTTCAAACTTCTTTTTCTCAAGTCTCCAATCAGCCAACAAAAAGTTAGTTTGTCATAAAAAAGTTCACAAATCTCAGATTACAATATAACCTTTATCGTCATTGGACAATAACAGCCAATGTGGGCATTTCTCTAATTGCTGTTCTCTATTCACAAACTTTTAAAAGAAAATACTCCTGACACTTAACATACTTATCAAAGAAAAAGACATTCCATATCACATACAGTTTTAAGACTGCCGGACACAAATGATGTCAGGAAAAACTAAGCCACTTGTAAAAGCCACAGAAGTCAATTCAGTGAAACATAATGGTTTTCGACATAAAATATAGAGCTGATACTAGGATAGTTAAAATAGTTAACAAAAAATGGAAGCAAAACCTTAAATTGCAGACTAACTATTGCCGCATGAGTGAAAAATAAAAACATAAGTGTTGCTATTCATAAATACAAAACTATAGTCATTTAATAAAAAAAAAATTGAAATCTAAACAGAATCAACAAGAAGTTCCTTTTCATGACATGCAAAATCCTTAAAAATATCTGTGAATTGCCTAAACTGGTCACTTCATTCAAAAATTATCCACCAGAACGAAAAAAAATTGGTTCCAGCACAAGCAAACCTTAAAAAGTCATTAAAATGAGACCAATTTTAAACGACGTTGCGAATACGGAAAATTGAAATTGTGGGAATGGGGGAAATACTAATAATGATATCCCAGATATCGACACAGAAACACGCAAAACAAAATAATAACACAACAAGCAACAATAATAGGTTGAAAAAGAAATGAAACCTGAGGAGGAGGAGCTAAGAGGCCAGGGTGGTAAAGTGACTGTTGTTGAAGTAGAGCCTGCTGCATCAAGGCCTGCTGTTGTTGTTGCTTAAGCCTCTGGTTCTGCATGTTCGTATATTATGATCAATAAACCCGATTCAATTGATTGATCGGAGAAATTTTGTAGGGTTCGTAAAAGGGGAAGGGTTCGCAGGGAGGGAAAAAAAGAGAAAAAGAAAAAAAAAAGAAAAAGAAAAGAAAAGAAAGAAAAACACGAGCGAAAATTTTAAGGTATAGCCTCACTAGCTATTTATAGGAAAATATTACGAATCTCGAAATTATATTAACACCTGTGCATAACATTTAATTACAATAAAAATTTTGAATCTTTAATTTGGAACATATGTTTCCATTTTTCTCCTCACATTCTTATCATTTCCTTCAATTAACTAATACTTTTTTTTTTTCTGATGATAATCTTCGTGACTTCGTCTAAATACATTTAACGCGTTTTGAAATGAAAGACAAATATTTTGTCGAAGTTTTAAATTTTTTGCTTATTTAAAAATATGAGCAAAAATTAGTCTTTTTACGTCTTTCTAACGATTTTTTTGAACGAAAATTGTTATCGAAGAACAAGAAGTACTAATTACTAGAAGATTGAATATAAAAATTATAATGCAAATATAATAACAAACTAACAAGGCATCTACACCTGCTCACCGTTCGAGTTATTGTAACTCAGGCGATTGGAGGTTTGAATTATTGTAATTTGAGTGATTTAAGATTCACACAGTATCATAGTTTAAACTTCATTTTTTAACCCTTTAAACATAATTACGAGGGCCCTTGTTTGGTAGGGAGAAAGACGTTTAGAAAAGTAAGATTATCTCCAACTCTGTACCAAAATTTACACCAAATCTTGCACCATTTTGCACCACATTTTGCAACAAACTAAAAATCATCTCTAACCATTTTACACCAAAAGTTACACCAAATGAATCATATTTAATAATTTTCTTCATTTTTTTAAATTCTTTACAATTCATTTATCTCAAAAACTATATATTTATTTATTTATTTCATTACTAAATAAATTATTAAATAATTAATTACATTTAGTAAACAAAAATATTGAATTCATTAATAAATTTAAAAAGTGTAGTATTATTAAATAGAAACACAACATCTAAGAAAATGTTAAATCATAAAAAATTTGCACAAAATTTGGTGCAATTTGATGAATTATGGTGCAACGAGGATTGGTTGGGGTTGCTTTAACGAATAGAAACTACAAAAGAAGTTTTTTCCTATGATTTTTGTCACAAGGAACAGAACTTTTATCTTCTTCCAAGTTTGGTAGAGAATACCAAATATTTCAATCACCGGCGAAAAGACGCCTTTCAACACGAATATTGCAAATGGTACACAAAAGTAATTGCAAAAACTCAAGAATAAAGCCAATGTGGAGGTAATTCTTAAAACTGGTACAACAATGATCCACACTTGATTTCCCATATAGGCTCTCCACCACTTCTATGCATCAGCGAGAAGAACATAAGCACAAACCATATCCAAAATTTCGAGAAAAAGACAAACAGAAGTAAAATGACATTCTAGTAGACGATATTTCCAGCATGCTGCAACCGCGATAATATTTGTGGTTAGCTCAGCATGACCTCAAAAGAAAATGTAGAACTGGAAGTCCATCAATCCATATCAAGGAAATCCATCCGCTTTTTCATAGTACCCTTGAGATCTGAAGCCACCTCTTCTGCTTTCTGTGCCTGATAGGAACAGAAAAACACGCAGCTAAAACAGCTGAAGTGGGTGTTAAGAATAAACATTTCCACACGAGTAACATATTATGTCACTTTTTAATTAAATCATCATTTCAAAAAGGTAATATAATATGTTGCTTTTGGCTCAATTCACCTCTACATAAATCAATCATCACACAGTTGGCATTTCCGTTGATATATGGACTAATAAAACATCATGAACTCTTACCCTTTTTATCTCATCCACTGAAACACAAGTCATATGTGGGGGAAGTTCTTCTTTCTCCAAATCCTAATCAATCACATCTGATTAATAAAATAACCCAAAAGAAAGTAGAATACTAATAAGCCTTTGTTAGGCTTTGTTAAAAATCATATTTTTAGTTGATGAAACGTGTGATTGAAAAGTTGAAAAAATTAAATAAAATTGTGCATCCCAAGAAATGTGTGGTTGAAAATGGATTCGATGAAAAATGAGTGTAGAAAAGGGGGCCAAACAGAGGCTAAAGGTTACTGACAAAGTAAAACAATGCATACCAGCTCGCCGATCAACACTACATTTTCCCCACGGATTATGTATAGACCTAATGGGATGTCACAGTAAAGATCACCAACAATTACGCGCTCACATGCACCTTCTAGAACAGCATTGGCTATAAATTAGATGATCAAAGTCAGTTAAACACTCAATAACAAATAATATAGGGGAATCAAACGACTGATATCAATAAATGTGAAAATCCATACCAAATTGATCAAAAGACCGGAGAGTCCCCAATAATTTCCGTCCATCTCGCAGCAAAACAAGGAGTTTCTCTGGGAAATATCAAGCGTAAGATAGAAAATGTGCACCTCCCAATCTGAGCCAATGTAAACTTTAACCGTATTCGCACATAATAAATCCTGAACATTTTACCAATGAACAAGCCTATATATTTGCCCGAGAGTCAAACTCCATGCAAAAAATTTTGTTCTTCACAAGGCTTCTAAATTTCTGATTATATGCATCAATTGCACATCATAAACTTGATTCTAATTTTATGGCCATCACACTGATATGAAAATTGGACAGATTTGGACTTGGTTTTATTGTTTACTTTACTCTTACGGGTTTCATATGGAAAAACAACGAAGGAAAATAGCTAACCAAAATTCTTGCAAACATATCAAAGAAAAAACAGGATACCTCCTCCAAAGATAAGACTCAGAAAACAACTATTTCAGAAAATCAATACATCAGCACTCATTTACTCACACAAATACAAAGCCATGATGGCATTAAGAATAAATCTCCAAAAGGAACATAAAAAACCTCTGATAGAAATAGTGGTAGTTATTTCCTGTTAATCTAAAGGAGAAGGCAAGCTATATGAAGGTTGGTAGCTGCTATAATCTTCCTGGTGTGGAGCTTATCAACCAGCACGGATGATGGAAGTAGCAATTGCCAATACACCTCTGTAGCTGGGCAAGTTCAGTATCGAGGGTAGCTGCCAAGCCTCACCCGAAATAAATAAGAGTTGACCTAGAGGCTGCATTTTTGGGGTCAACCAGGCAGCCTCACCTAGATTTCAAGAACATATAGTGGCTGCCTATTTCGTTGGGCAACAATTATACCCTTGAAGTGTGACCTTAGTGAATAAAGCTTCAGGAACAGGTACTATAAACCGTACGGATGGTTACAATGTCCTCCATTAACTCCGGAAATTTAAAGGGAAAGTGGGAACGTGCTATAGCCCTCGTCCCCTCAATACCAGAGAAATGTTTTGCATACACCGCCACTATAGTTAAAGGTAGACATTCTCAATTCAAGGGTGAGACTCTAAGCTTTTACACAACTATACTTAGACTGATTCTCAAGCCGGAGCAGTCGGGGGAGAAAATCCCCACTATTTCTATGCAAGTTCTTTGTTGTCGAAACTACCATTAGCGGAGGGGGGAGGCGGAATGAATATCAACCCCAAATTGCATTAAAACTTCAAGAAAAAGATTCCACCAAGAACATCAAGAAACAATGGCACAGTTTATCATAAATAAAAATATCACCCTAAAACGACCAAAATTTCGATTTCAATTATCAAGAAATACCCAAACGCACAGTAGATTTATCGTTCCAAATTTAGATTATAAAGAAAATCCGAAAAAAAAAATCAAGAAAAACTTACTGTCAAGATAGTTGGCAAGAGAAGTAGAGAGGTAAATATCTTCTGGGCCTGCCCAAGACATTGATGAATTCACAAAAAGACTTCAACTTTCACGTTATCCCCACAAAAAAACACCAAACGCAGACAATTTCAACGAAACAAAATTGCATTGGCAGCTCAGATATGCGCTCTTTTATTTCCCCACCCCATTTTCACGGGAAAGGTTCAAAATTTGAAAAGTGCTAAAACCCTAATTCAAGAAAATGGAATCCTGGAAGTTGGGGATTTCGAGTTGACTTTTTGTTGAAGTTCAGATCTGGAAAAATCTGAGGTACAGTTTGGCACAAACGCATGACAGTTCGTGTAAGAGTCGAGAGTAATTCTCTAGTAATATTTTTCTTATAGTGCACTCCCTCCGGGAGAAAAATTTTCGGTTGATCCTTGAGATATTGAGATTATTACACTGAAGCCACATACTTTTTAAAAAAAAATTAAAGGCAAATTTTTTATATAAATATATTTACAAAATTACAGTAGATTAATCATTCATCAAGAAAAGAGTGCAATTAATCTACGAACTAACACAGAATGATAAAGATAATGAGTTATTTATTTAATTTTCATCTTCTTTTCTTTGTAAGGTGACAAATTTTTCTTTAAGATACATAATCCTCCATTTGAGATCTTCATTGCGATTTTTTTAATGTAGAAATTAATCTAGTTCAATTTAATAATCTAATATTTGCCTAGATCAAACTTTCGTTTGTGTGTATTAAATTATAATTTGGCATGTTTATCTAAGTTACTAGTGGGGCAAACATGCGTTGCACGTAGCGGTGGCAAAAAAGTTCGGAGGCTTGAACGGCTCGGGCTCGGCTCGTCTCTGCTCGGAAAAAACCCGAGCCAAGCCCGGCTCGGGCCGAGCCCCACTTTGGGGAGTCTGCTCGAGCTCGGTCGAGCCTCCTATTAAAAAAAAAAAAAAAATTCTGCTGCAAGCTGCCGACTGGCTACCTGCAGCAGCAGGCAGCTAAGAAAAAAATTTAAAAAATCCGAGCCGGCTCGGCCCTCATTTTTTCTGGTTGGGTTCGGCTCGGCTCGAGCTTTTTTTTTCGGCTCGACTCATTGACATCACTAATTGCACAATAATTGGATAATGTTAAAAATGTGTAACAAAATAAAGAATAAGCCACGACATACAAATAAAAACCAATTTAAGGATTCTTGTCGGATGCAATCCATTCACATGGTTTATGTTTTAAAAAAAATATATAGTATTTTGATTCAACTTTGAGTATAGGAAAAATTGTATTTGAGAACTCTAAACACATTACATGCAACATTAATCTAATTTGACAAAACTAT